TTGGAATACGAACATAAGACCGAAATTTTTTGGAAATATTCCGAAAGGGCTAATTCCGATCCGATCCTTCCGACTTTCAGCCCTAATTATGTATGTATATATATAGTACTACAGAAAATGATGTTTCCATACAAAGATAATAAAATTAATTAACTAATTAAATAAATAATGAACACGTACCAACATTTTATATATACTGTACTCACCTTCCATACGGCAATAAAACTTTTTGGGTAAAAGTTTGCATATTTATTTGATACTAAATGGGCCAGGCCCATTATGAATATTTAACAATACAGGCTTCCTTTAATAATTTGGTTTCATAGGGAAAATTGAAAGGCCCAATAAATTAATTAACCATAAAAAATTTGGTTTCAATTATTATCATTCGATGAACAATTAATTATTATTATGCAGATATCTAATGTAATCAATATTGTCAATGTTGGAGTTAGGTTCGAGTTGAAGCTGAGTTCGAGCCTGGTGAAGATTCTTCTCACGTGTGAACACTTACACTAAAGAGTATTTATATATGCTATTAGTTGTTATGAAGAGATGATTCTGATAATTCTTCATTCACTGAAAACGCGCGTGTGTGTGTGTGTGTGTGTGTGTGTGAGAGAGAGAGAGAGAGAGAGAGAGATCTTGTAACAATAACTGCCATTGTTAGGGTTTCTGAAAAAAAATAGGATAGCGTGTGCACTGTGTGTTGTAATCCATAATTGCCTCAAATTCGTTGAATAAATTCAGATATCATTATATTGCCCCATGGATATAGGATTATTCTAATCCGACCCACGTATATATTGTGTGTTGTGTGTGTTTAAATTCTTTACGTACGTTTTGATCGTGATCAACAACTTGATTTTGCAACAGTACGTCGATTTTATTACATACGTACTCTGTGATCTTATTTTTATTAAAACACTTAAATAATTAAGAATAATTTATTCTTGAAATATGATTATAAAATCTGCCGAAAAATCAATTCAATAAAATGTGATTAAACAACATACACATATGGGGAAAAAAATAACAAACAATTCAATAAAACGTGATTCATTGAACATTATTTATATAATTCACACACACACACACACACACACACACATAAAATGTATGTATATCGATTTTAGGTTGGTCGCCAGTTCTGACTGGAATATTTGGTGGTAATAACAGGGTAAGGTGACGAGGCCTGAGACCGAGTCTTTCTCTTCTGGAGAAACATTTTCAGTGATCTCTTCATTGAAACAACAGAGCTTGGACTGTACATTGAGGGAGATAACAATGGTGATGATGAAACCGGGTCGGATCCAGGCGACCCGTTCGTTTTATCTTCAACTACTGCATGGCTCGCTACCCATATTATTGCTCTTGCCTTCATTCAAATCATCAAACAACAAATTAATCAATGGATCAAGTAGTAAAAAAATATTTTTTTTTGGTTTCAAATTATTTATTAATTTAGGTTTCAAATGATCTTTTTTCATATATATTTATTAGATCATCAAATTAATCTATAAATATAAGTATATAACTGTAATTAAGGAATTAAAAAAAAAAAAAAAATAGAATAAATTTGTCAAACAAATTGAAAGGCAATGTTTACCTGAAGTTCAGTAGCATCACAAACAGCAACTCTTCCATTGTAAAAGATAGTCAGCTCCTGCGTGTCGTTTCGATTATTCCAGTTTATCCTATATAAAGTTAAATCTTTATAAATTAATATAATCGCCCGGTAAAATCCTATTAATTTAGCAGAATATTAAATTATCGAACCAGAAGAATTTATTTTCTAAATAAGGTTATTAATTTATCGAGGTACTCCTGTAATTTTTCATAAATTCACAAATAATTAAAACCTCATAGACTCAATTACAAAAATTGAGAGAGAGAGAAAGAGAGATCATACATGGAGGGTGGCGGCAGCGAAGGCGTGACAAGGCGAAGATCCAGATTACAGTTTCTTTTCATCTCTGTTTTACGGTAATGTCTGTAGAATCTAGAGAGAGAGAGAGAGAGAGAGAGAGAGAGAGAGAGAGAGAGAGAGAGAGAGAGAGAGAGAGAGAGAGAGAGAGAGAGAGAGAGAGTGGGAGAGAGAGAAACCGTGACGGGAGATTGATAAAACACATACATATATAACGTTTATACATATACATATATATATATATATATATATATATATATATATATATATATATATATATATATATATATATTATCTGTGCATGTACATACAAAAAGAAAACAAAGAAATGAACCTTGAATTGCGGGCGAAGGTATGCGGCCTGAAAAAACAACGTGTTTAAAATGGTATAGAGATGCAGAAATGGAAAATAAGAAAAGAAAGTTGACAAGAGAGAAAGAAAAGTACAAAACGGAAAGGGTCAAATTAAAAAAAAAATATTATTAATCACGTGTATCATGAGTTTTCCCTCCCCACTACCTAAGATTTGTGACGACTCAATTGCTTTCACGCTCCTATTAATTAAACACGTGCCATAATTATTGCCACGACTACTGCACCTTATCTCGAAGGTTGAAATTTTGCAATGGCACTATATATTGTTGGATGGGTGTAAATTTAGACCGAATGGCCCGTTTTAATAGGAAAATTAGGTGTCATAGGATAATTGACACTTGGATAGTTTAAATAAAAATATAATTAGAATTCTAATAATTGAAAAAAAAAACCAGCATAATCAGTAACCCTTCTAACCCTAATTATAATTAGTGTAATTTATTAAGAGTTAAGACTTGAGAGTGTCACATGTCAAAAAATTAGTGAAATTCGATTTATATTAAATATCGACTGATTCACTCGGAATTTAATATCTTGTTGGATTTAGTCACTAACTTGACTTCTCTTTTTGTCTTTAAATTAATCCATCAATATTCAATAATATAATTTCAATTGATGGGTAGAGAGTGTTGCAATTGGGCCAAAAGGCGCAAAATGAATTCTTAGTGAGTTTCGGTCTTGGCCCACTAATAGAGTTCTTTAAAGTTGTATCCAATACAATTGATTCATTGAAGAATCACCAAATAATATGCCCATATTTAAAATAAAATATAATATAATAATTACTACAATGTTCGTAGCGAAATTATTTTATTACAAAATGTGGGAGCTCGAATGGAATCAAACGGGTACAAATTACAGAATATTTCACTGGATTTATTACCGCAAGGATGAACATGTAAGAAAATTCATAATTCAGGGCAGTGGTTTTAATTATCCAAACATGAGGGACTTTTTTTGTAATTTATCAACACAAAATAATGAAAAATATATATTAATCGGGTTTTCACACTTCAGGACGCGCGCAATTGGCGCGTGGAATCCAAAGTGGTGCTGGACCAATTGATGATCTTCCACGAACCAAAATTATCATTCTTTCTCTTCCAATATAATCAAGCATGTTAAAGCCATACATTTTTTCCAGCTAAATAAATACCTAATTAATTAATAAATAATTAATAATTAATTCTCCGGCGAATCATTTGTTTTGCGTAAAATCTGCGAGGAGTCCTCGTTTCAGTCAAAACTGTTCGTCATTCAATCGGTGAGTTGAATTTGTTTTTCCTCTTCAATTTTTGTTCTTTACTTTGCCCTAAAAATAGAAAAGTAATCAGTTTTTTGTTTGGGGTTATATGAGATAACCCCTTCATACAAATTTCTTAGAGGCATAAATCCATATTTTTTTTTACTATTAGGGATAACCCCTCATTAAGAGTAATACCTCATTTACCCTTATTTTATTCATAAAAATATAATTAAATTATTATTGTTAGAGTAACTCCCCTAAATCTCTCATAACTCCCCCAAATCTCTCATTAAATGCAAATCACGGCATTTCATTTTTCTTTTGATTCTTTTTACAATCTGTTTAGAATTTTGATTTAAAAAATATATTTATTTTTTTTCAATTTTCATTTTTCTAATTTGTTTTTTTACCGAAGTTAAAAAAAAAATTTAAAATCCACTATATACTCATTAAACACCACTGTAAATTCATCTTTTAAAATATTTTTGTAATTTCGATTTAAAAAATATTTTTTTTTTCAATTTTTATTTTTTTTAGTCGGTTTTTTTTTTACCGCAAGTTTAACAAAAAATTGAAATTCACTATATACTTATTGAAAACCACTATAAATTCATCGAAAACCACTATTCGATTAACGTAGAAATCGGTATGAAATTATCGTAATCAACTTTAATATTAATATAATGCACCACAAACGTATCGAAATCAAATAAAAATTTACATAATCCACTATGAATTAAGGGGGGGGCATTACAAAATTATCAAAAGGGGGGGGGTTAACGTAATATATGGATTGAAATCCACTACATACTCATTGAAAACCACTATAAATTCATTGAAAAACACTATTCGGTTAACGTAGAAATCAGTATGAAATTATCGTAATCAACTTTAATATTAATATAATGCACTACAAGTGTATCGAAATCGAATAAAAATTTACATAATCCACTACGAATTAACGTAATCCATTACAAAATTAAAAAAAGTCCACTACAAAGTTATCAAAATCCACTTTATATGTTAACGTAATCCACTACAAAATTAACGTAATATATGGATTGAAATCCACTACATACTCATTGAAAACCACTATAAATTCATCGAAAGCTACTATTCGATTAAAGTAGAAATCAATATAAAATTATCGTAATCAACTTTCATATTAATATAGTGCACTACAAACGTATCAAAATCGAATAAATATTTACATAATCCACTACGAATTAACGTAATCCATTACAAAATTATCAAAAATCCACTACAAAATTATCAAAATTCACTTTATAGGTTAAAGTAATCCACTACAAAATTAACATAATATATGGATTGAAATCCACTACATACTCATTGAAAACCACTATAAATTCATCGAAAACCACTATTCGATTAACGTAGAAATCAGTATAAAATTATCGTAAAATCAACTTTCATATTAATATAGTGGACTACAAACGTATCGAGATCGAATAAAAATTTACATAATCCACTACGAATTAACGTAATCCATTACAAAATTATCAAAATCCACTACAAAGTTAACAAAATCCACTTTATAGGTTAAAGTAATCCACTACAAAATTAACGTAATATATGTTTAATCCACTAAAAACTTATCGTAGAAAAACACTTATGCATCAACAACAAACTTATCAAAATCCACAACAAGCTTCCGAATTTATGATAGTGTTGCTCGTGGTTTTCGTTAGGTTAGAGTAACCCGGTGAGAAACACTACAAACTTATCATCATTCAACATCGTCCCACTTGATGCCATCACCCGCTTGTGCAAGAACCTAAACCAAAGAAAAATAATAAGACAACAACGTGTCAATTTAATTCATTCACTAAAAATCGGTCTCCAAAGCAAGAATTTAAAATCCACTATAATCTCGTCAAAACCCACTACAAAAATTATCGAAATCCACTAAAATATTAACATAATCCACTACGAAATAAGTTAATCCACTAAAAAATTACAACAAAAGTGTAATAACAAATACTCAAATAGTGACCGAAAACATGAAGGAGCCTCAAAGTATATTGAAAATCTCATATATATAATACCTCATTCAACAATTCGACTAGTTGTCACTTCTATTTTGTTAACCATCATATAGAATTTATTTATGGATATAGAGAAAAAATGAAAACAACATCAAAACAGCTGCAAAGCAACATGAAAACAACAGCAAAACAGCAACAAAATCAGCTGCAAATTAGGAGCCAATCAGCTACCATCAACAATCAAAATCCAGTACAACACGGTAATTCAATTTAGTGTTCAAACAACTACAATCGGAATCGAAATATAATTATCAAACAAGACAAATTAAAAAAATAATTTCAAAAATAAATTGAATTTACCTAGTGTTGTTTTGGGAATCGGCTCGACACCACCTCCAGCAGCTTTGTAGTGCTCATCGGCCTGATATAAGAGCCGCTGAACCTCACCAAGCCGGGCCGGAGACTTCTTCTCCTGGCCGCCGGATTTATTCGCCGCGCACCGGAAAGCACAAAAACCTGTGACTGGCTGCAGATTGGTCCGGAATAAACGGAGGGGTATTTGGGGATGAAGTGTGGGTCGGAATATCGAGCGAGCGAGCATCATTGTACTACATGTGAACTTCATAGCTGCCATTACCGAATCTATTTTTAATTTACAAATATGAAAAATGAATTTCTGAAGAAATGGTATCCACGAACAGAAGTAATGATTTTTTATTTTGTTTTTCTTTTTCCCCAAAGCATTAATTAATAAGAAAATAAAAGGGTTGCTACAAAATGAAATTCCCCACAAATACGTACCTGATTGGAACACCAATATCGCGAAGCAATGTTCTGCACAAAAATCCCTCACAAAGATCTGCTTGTCGATTCCAGATCCGATGGATTAAGCTTTGTCATCGTCGATTTTTTCTGGTTATGTCTTCTCTTCCGTTTTATGTCATGATGGTCCTTCATTCCGGCCGCCAAGAGAAGAAAATCGGAAGAAAGAGTGGGTGGATGGGGAAGATGGATATATCGAATTCTGCCCGCCGAGAGAAGAAAAACGGAAGAAAGAGAGGGCGGATGGGGAAGATGGAAATATGGATGGAGAGAAAGAGTGAGGGAGAGATAACGTGTCTAGGGTTAAACGGCTTGAGATTTGGACGGGTTTGGTGAAGGGTATAATTGTACTATATATTTTAAAATTAAATTATGGATTTATCTCAAAAAGGTGAAAAAAAAAATGGACCCCCTCTAATAGGAAATGTCATATGAGGGGGTTTTGTCAAATAATCCCTTTTTGTTTTTTTCACACACTCACACAGTGACGTGTCATCAGAAAGTGCTGTGATTTTCGATAATACAAAAATTAGTGTGCAAGAGAACTCGGACAAGTTTATGGGGAGGAATTTATGAGCACTGATTTGAGGAAGACATACAAGTTAGGTGTATCAAGATCGGCCTTTTAACTCTCGCTTACTATCCGGATATAATTTCTGAGTTTGTCGAGTGTTCGCAAGAAACATTAGGGGATTCTTTCGTACGTTAAGCTCTGTATATTCAACTAAAGAGAGATGCAAAGAGTGCGAGTTTCGTCACAACAAGCTCCGGTGCACAAGCTCGGCGATTCCCAAATGACCCTCTCACCAAAGTTTCGATTACCCGCAGCGCGTTCCACCATAACCGACCACGCACTAGACTTCGATAGTTCTCTTACAGGAGAGCCCTTGATTCCAGGATTCCCCAATGATGTGGCACTACAATGCCTCCTCCGTGTACCGGTAGATCAACACACGTCATGCAAATCCGTATGCAAGCGTTGGTATTCGTTATTCGGAAGCAAAGAGCTCTTCTTCACTTTGAGGAAAGTGCTTGGTTTTCACGATCCATGGCTTTTCGTATTCGCGTACCACAAATGCACCGGAAAAATCGAGTGGAAAGAGCACTTTTTGTTATATGTTTACTTCTATTGAGCTATCTAATCACATTTTTCATCCAACTAATGTTTATTGTAGAGATAAATAATAGGGTAAATTACACACACCCCCTGAGGTATGCTTAAATAACTGTAAGGTCCATGTGGTATCGATAATTACACTCAGCCCCCTGAAACGTAGTCAGAAACTCTAATGGGATAATGAATTGGATACGTTATTCCGATAGGGTTCTAACGGACTATTGGTTTCAGAAAGTGATGGAGACAACAAAGAGCTATGGATGATTTAAGAAATGTTCGGGAATGTTCGGGGAGCCATGTCACCCCATAGTTCTTTGTATTGACTATTGATTGAGCCTGAAGTGATTGGAGATGGGCAATAAAACTTTTTTGAAGTTGTTGCGTGTTAAATGGAAGCGTGAATAAGAAGGGGACTAAACTAGAAAAAAAGAAAAGTTAGAGGTCTGACATGTAATAACGGTGGAGAAAAACACGTATATAAAAAAAAATCTGAAAGGGGTTTCAGTTTCACAGTAATAGGTTGGGGAAAAAGATAAGCTATGGAGGATAAGGTGGCGAGGTTGTTAGCTGAAGCGAAACCTAAGCTGGAGAGGAAATACAGTGTTGGAATTTCTCCCGGCGCTTTTGATCTCGCTGTTCACGGCGTTAGAACATTCAAATCCAAGTTCAGTTCCGGTTAGTTTTTCTCTTTCTCTTCCCATCAGTGATTTATTTTCAAGTGTTTAGGCATGTTTGTTTTTTTGGACGACCTAAAAATTGCTAATTAGGGTTTTTATTTCTCTCGAGACGAACAACAAAATCGAAGACAAATAACCCTAGAAATTTTGATCATATTTCTCTCCTGTTGGTTCTTATTATTTTGTTTTCCCCCTCTCATCGTGATTTATTTTCAACCGCTTAGTGATTAGGCATGTTTCTTTTTTGGACCTGAAACAAGGAACCTGTAATTTTGATCAGAGTCTGTCATATTTTATGCCTTTTACCAATATAGAATTGTTTTATTAATAATATAATTTTGATATTACCGCACAGCCCCTAAAAAAGGTTTCGAAATCTTGGATGAGGCATGCAAGCTGGTTAGCAAAAACTTTAGAAATTGCGCCCACGAGTTGGCCTTCAATGACAAGGCATACGAGCTGCGCCGTGCGGTTGTCGAACTCGTTGAATTATATAGGAACTACCACCCAGATAGCAAATATTGGGTGAATAGGTTGTTGCGTGAGCGTGATTCTGCATCGTTCTACCTGAACGAGTTCTTAGACAGATGGGACTTCGAATTTGATCCATTGTCCGACCAAACTATCTATGACAAGATTATATCACTCCAGGCAAATCTGGACTGTCCTATGCTGAACAAGACCACCTTGGAGGAAGCTGTTCTGTTTCTTGATGTTGTACAAGATAAATTAATTTCTCGATTCCGGTTTCTCTTGACTGTCAAGGATTATCATGTTGCTGAGGTTTGTCACTATACATTTTAAAACTACTTTACAGCTGCGTATTGCCTGTTTTTCATTTCTGTTAATATAAGATTCTTTAGAGCAGGTATACTTTTTTTCCTTTTCATGGGATGCAATGGCAGCATATATACATCTTTATTGTCCACCTTGCTAACATTTTAAGCATTGTTAGGTGCTGAGCAAGCTCAATGATGTCCCACTCACTCAGATTGTTCCATCTTTTAAGCATCGCTACAAGAAAAAGGCGATTTATATGACAAATCTTAGGGTGGTGAATCAGATGCCCGTGATTAATGAAATTTTTGGAACTCTGGTATCCGAGAGAAGTACTAGTACATGCCCTAGGGGTTCGTTTCTTCTTTTGGGCCCGTCTGGAGTTGGTAAAACAGAGATTGCAAAGGCTGTTGCACAGCATTGGTATTGTGATGCAAGCAGACTTGTAGAGATAGATATGGCAGAGTATGCAGAGCCTTTGGTTGAATCAGCAGCTTTTGATCTATCTGAGTGGTAGTGTGTGGATTCTTTAAACTCTTTTGATTCGTATTATTTAACCCCTTTTTGTATCTCTCGTGTTTTTGGACCTTTTCGTTCAGGTCAAAGAGTATACGTGGTGATTTTTTGAATAAACTGACTGAGGTTGTGACAAAGCGTCCTTATTCGGTTATTCTTCTGGACAAAATTGACAAGGCTTCCTCCATTGTCACAGGGGTTCTCATTGAGATTTTGAGTTACGGAAAAGCAGGTGATATTAAAGAGAGGAACGCTGTTGACTTGTCGAAGTCTATTATTTTCATGACTTCAAGTGTGGGATCCGATCAACTTGAATTGAGTTGCACAGACTCTAATTTTATCGATCTTTTGAATCGGTACAGACAAAATTCCCTAGAACTACGTAAAGTCCATGAGTGTCCTCTAAAAGACAGTGGTCCTGAAAGAGTTGTCATTGAGGTACATGTTTTTTTTTCATTGCTTCACAAGATTGATGATTCGTGTATTTAACTATTTTTTAAATGGAATTTGTAGGCGAGAAAAATCTTGGGTGCTGATCTGTTAGATTCCCTTGATAAAGTTCTTGTCGTTAAGAGGTTCTGCAATCAGCAGGCTGTTGCGAGGCTTCTTCTTAGGGAAACTGTTAGAGACGTTTATGGAGAAAGATTAGTTGTGCATGCTTCTACTGAAGCAATAGATGTCTTATTTCTCAAGGGACCGACACAGCGGGTAAGTAGTTATCTTATTTATAAACTGGCTGTAACATGGGGAAGAGTTAATGGGAAGAGGTAAATAATAACAAAAAAGTGGGAATCATAAACGATAAAAGAATTTTGAAAGTGATCACCAAACATACCTACTGCTCAAGCTACAAAACCGTATCACTGAAACTCCAAAACTGATATCCGTCATTCATAATGAATAATAATGAACTCCAAATATACTGTTCAAATTCAACAATTTTTTTATTAATTTTGTCCACAAATCAATCTCCGACCGTCTCTTTGATGAGAACTGCTCCTCTGTAAGGCCAAAAATAGTTTCGAACTCTCCGCTAATAATCCACCTCATATTTAATATTAATGACAAACAAACACACTCAGACCGATCAAACCAAAAATGAACAGCCGATCTTGGCACAAATTCTAAACAGCTGCGCCTATTTTTTTGAAATTTTTATTCTTTCATCTTCTGATGGATTTCTGATGAGACGAAAAAGCTGTCGGGCTAAGAATAATAATTGGACGAAAATAGAGGAAACAACCACAAAAGACAACCTTAAACATCGTGCCATGATATAGGTCAAAAGGCTCTTATTTTTTTTATGTAAGATAAGAAGACTAATTTATCGAGTTCCTAGTTATTTATGCTGAAGCTTCTTTAAAAAATTATCCAACTAGTCTGCACTGCTATATAGTATAATTAATTGGATCCATCATAGTTTAGATTTCTTCATCTATAATGCCCCCTTGTAGTAATCTTCCTTGTTATAGCAATTTATGTTGGGAAAGCCGGAAATAATTTTACCATGCCGCACGATCTTGATTGCATAAAATCCCATCAGTTGCCATTTTCTCATCTTAAGTTTTTTTTTTTTTTTTTTTTTTTTAGATACTCTTCTTGTCTTTGATTGTTTTCTTGTCATATTTCTTGGTAGCTTGAAGCTGGAAAGGCTTTCCGAGAAGCATTGCTAGAGCATGTCATTCCACAGTTATCATCCACAGAAGGTTTTAATTGTGGTTTTGTATGTGTTGATACACTTGTTGGAACACATGAATTGTCGTTTAGATTTCAAACACAAGTACAAAATGTGGGTGATTGGTATTTCAAGCTAAACGATGGAATATTTGATAGTTTTATGGCTGAGTCGAAAAAAAAGGTGGAAGCAGTGTGTAGGATATTTGACTTACGGAGTGAATGCTTAGATTTGTTTCAATCGGGCCAAAGTTCATCTGAGCTGAAGAAGTTATTATTAGATGCCTGCAATGACCTGTCAACTATTTTCCGGTATCAGTATCATGGCTCACACATGCTACTAAGATATGTATCTGAAGAGGTATATATTTATTTTATTGCTTATATTCCATTACTCTTTTTCCTTGTCAGCCTGAGAGTTGATTTCCTATATCTTATGTTATATATGCTGTGTATACGATGACCAAACACCTAGGTTGCATCATGCAATGGTAATCTTCCTATGGATGATAAGAAGAAGACGCTCAAGATGCATTGCACAGAATTGGAAAGGTATGATACGGGTATTGGTAAAGCAACTAGAACTATATTGGATGCTCTATTGAAGGTGTGTGATGGTGATTCATTGGAACCAACTGGAATGATATTGGATTCATCGAGTGATTATGATCCAGTGGAAGGGTCAAATTTGCCAGCGAAACATTACTTCTTTGTAGGTCTGAACCATGTTGCCAAAGCAGGGCTGATTAATTCTCTTAACGAGTTTTTGGGGGAATCGTTTTTCGTTTACGTCAAATTAGACAACAACAGCAGAGGTGAGGAAGTGAAGGAGTTTCTTGTCGATCAAGTAAGGCTGAGGCCATGTTTGGTCCTTATGCTCGATGGGGTTGAATATGCTGACGATGCTCTTTATAAGAGCCTGCTCGAGATTCTTGACAAGGGTACTGTGGATGACAATGAGGGGTTCGGTGTTGAATTCGGGAGAATTATTCTTATCCTTACATCAGATGTTGAAAATAAACGTAGAATTGCTGGTTCTGCTATGTTTAATCATCAACAAGATATTATATCTAATATTCTGACGAATCAAAACCAGGTATTTTGGTTAATCACATAATTTTTTTTTTTTTTCTATGCATGTCCAATTATTTGACGACGTTAATCACTTTAAATAAAATCTGTTCTGGCAGAATGTGAAAAGATTCAGGACTGAGTTGCTTTACCGAGTTGAAGGGATAATGTTCTTTGATCCTCTATCTGGAGATGGAGGAACTCCTTTTCTGCGAAAACGTGGTGGCAGAGTCAAACCACCCTTTATTGAGTTGACTTTATCTAGTTTTCTCCGTCTTATGTTTGAAGGATGATTTGATGCAACTTGTGTTTAGCATCCAGTTTATTTTTTTCCATCTTTATCAAACAAAGATAATAAAGACTCTTCATTAAGTTTTTGTTGTATTTTTCTGAATTAGGTCGAAATGTTGAATTGTTGACTTGTCCGTTAATCTTGTCAGTTGAATAGTTTAAAATTTCCATCCCTGTTAAGTACTAACAATTCAGTTCATCCCTGGTTTAGGCGTGGAAACTGCTTTCCCACGCCCATTTTAGGCGCGGGAAATTACTTCGGGCGTTCGGTCCAGACGCCGGTTCTGGACCGGTCGTCCGGTTCATTTTTTTTTTTGCCCAGTATAACTGAATTGAATGATTATATTTAAATTAAGTATTAGTTAACAAGATTGCAGTAGCTTAGCTGGTCAGGCGTTTCGTCTATGTCACTCTAGACCCATGTTCGACTCTTGCTAACAAAGCGTATTTGTTTATTTTTGCCCAGTATAACGAAATTATAATTACAGTTAAATAAGTATTTATTACTAAATGGCTGTAGCCTAGTTGGTTAGGTAAGTTAGTATTTAGAAGTTTGAGCTCGTGTTCGATTTCTTAGAGTAGAACAAATATATATCATTTTTTTTTTAACTTATTCAGCACGCGCGCCCAAACCGGGCGCGGATAGCTGTGATGGGCGCCCAAATCGGGCGCCGGAAGTACTTTTCCGCGCCCAAACCGGGCGTGAATCGAGCTGTTTCGCACCCAGTTTAGTCGTGAAACCTATTTTTCGGCGTCCAAATTGGTCGTGGGTCGCGTTTTCGCGATTTAAAGAAAAAAACGAACAAATTTTACCTCATTGGATTCCGTATCTCGATCCTCATTCGATGCACTCATTTTTTTTTTTTTCAAATGGCTACAATAACATGAGTTTTGGAATGATTTCTAATATAAAAGCTAAAATTGTAGAAAGAAAAAGAAAGATAGAGAGTGGATTTTTTAAAACGACATTCGTAATTTTGCTACCGCGAAACCTCCCAATAAATAAACAGAACTAAAACAACTATATTGAATACTATACGATTAATATCATTTTCATAGAAAATAATGAAACACACTTCTACATGAGTATCTCTTTTCACTTTTCACAAGGATTAAAAATCTCAATAAATATGACCCCTTTTTTTTGGGTAAGATCAGTTAATAATACTTGATTTTAAGAAAAATACATAAAAATGACTAAAGTAATATTTATTATTTAATCATTTATAATAAATAATTAATATTTAGAGTTTAATTAATAATATTAAAACATGGAAAATGCAGAGAGAGTATATATTAATCGCTTTCACACTTGTCATAAAATTGTAAGAAAACGCTTTAGGACGCGCTCATTTGGCGCGTGAGACTTGTGAATCCAAAGTGGTGTTTTGCCGCATAGGCTGGACCAATTGATGATCTTCCACGAACCAAAAATTATCATTCTTTCCCTTCCAATATAATCAAGCATGTTAAAGCCATACATTTTTTCCAGCTAATTAATTAATAAATAAATTAATTAATTCTCCGGCGAATCATTTGTTTGCGTAAAATCTGCGAGGAGTCCTTGTTTCAGTCAAAACTGTTCGTCATTCAATCGGTGAGTTGAATTTGTTTTTTCCTTTTCAATTTTTGTTCTTTCACTTTGCCCTAAAAATAGAAAATTACTTTCTGCTTTGTCCGTGTCTTCACTTTCCCCCTTTTGGGTTTTTCACATTTGAAATTGTTGAAATCTCTCAGCTTTTCGGCCGTGTGTTTACTTCAATTTTTCTACTATGCTGGGGTTTAATTTATTTTTAGCTTATTGTGTATTTGGGATTATTACAGTGAATCTTCAATAAACAACTGAGGTTTAATGAGTCATGTGTTTTATGATTTTTCTTGCTTTCTTTTTCAGTTAAGGGAAAGAGTTTTATGACTTTTGGGGTGAGCAAAAGTTGTGGCTGGAGTTGTATTGAACAAAAGTAATCAGTTTCTTGTTTTTGTCACACACTCACACAGTGATGTGTCATCAGAAAGTGCTGTGATTTTCGATAATACAAAAAATAAGTGTGCAATAGAATTCGGAAAAATTTATGGGGAGGAATTTATGAGCACTGATTTGCTCTGATTTGAGGAACACATACAAGTTAGGTGTATCAAGATCGGCCTTTTAACTCTCGCTGACTATTCGGATTTAATTTCGGAGTTTGTCTAGCGTTCGAAAGAAACATTAGGGGATTCTTTCGTACGTTAAGCTCTGTATATTCAACTACAGCGAGATGCAAAGAGTGCGAGTTTCGTCACAACAAGCTGCCGTGCACAAGCTTGGCGATTCACAAATGACCCTCTCACCAAAGTTTCGATTACCAGCAGCGCGTTCCACCATAACCGACCACGCACTAGACTTTGATAATTCTCTTACAGGAGAGCCCTTGATTCCAGGATTCCCCGATGATGTGGCACTACAATGCCTCCTCCGTGTACCGGTAGATCAACACACGTCATGCAAATCCGTATGCAAGCGTTGGTATTCGTTATTCGGAAGCAAAGAGCGCTTCTTCACTTTGAGAAAAGTGCTTGGTTTTCACGATCCGTGGCTTTTCGTATTCGCGTACCACAAATGCACCGGAAAAATCGAGTGGAAGGTTCTAGATCTTACTCACTTATCCTGGCACACAATTCCGGCTATGCCTTGTAAGGATAAAGTTTGTCCTCAAGGTTTTAGGTGTGTTTCGATTCCACACGAGGGGGCCCTTTTCGTATGTGGGGGGGTGGTTTCCGATGTGGATTGCCCACTTAATTTGGTACTGAAATACGAGGCTCGTAAAAATCGTTGGACTGTGATGAAGAAGATGGTCACAGCCAGGTCTTTCTTTGCGAGCGGGGTTATAAACGGAATGATATATGTTGCTGGTGGGAATAGCACGGACTTATACGAGCTCGATTCTTGCGAGATGATGGATCCAAAAAACGGTTCGTGGAGCCCCGTTTCGAATATGAGAACACACATGGCGTCGTACGATTCGGCGGTTCTTGATGGGAAGTTTCTTGTGACAGAAGGGTGGTTTTGGCCATTTTATGTTGTGCCTAGGGGTCAAATTTACGACCCGATGACTGATAATTGGGAGAATATGCCAGCTGGACTTAGGGAAGGGTGGACGGGATCCAGTGTGGTGATCCACGGGAATCTTTTTGTAGTGACGGAGCATGAGAGGACGAAATTGAAGGTTTATGACTCGGGGAATGATTGCTGGGAGGTTGTTGAAGGGCCGCCTTTGCCGGAGAATATATGTAAGCCCTTTCGGGTGAATTGTTGGGAGAGTAGGGTTTATGTTGTGGGGAGGAATTTACATGTGGCTGTTGGGTATGTTGTGGAGAATTACGAGATTGCCACCGGTGGAAATGGGAAGAAGGGGGGTAGGTTTTGTGTGAGGTGGGAAACGGTGGATGCTCCTGGGAGCTTGTTCGATTTGACGCCTTCGAGCGCCCAGGTTCTGTTTGCTTAGAAATATATATATATATGTTTGGTTTGTGTTTTTCTTTTTTCTTTTTTTTTCCGTTTGTGGTATGTGTTTGTGTTGGTGTTGGTGATAAATTAAGTCGTACGAGAAAGTACCGTAATGTTAGAGAGATTGTATGTGTGAGATGGCTGTTGTATAAATATATAAAGATATATTTATATATCTAAAGTTTTTCTTGAATTTGTATGTGTGTATTTCGCGTTCGGTTTGTATGTTAGATGTAAATATTGGTATTGATCGTTTCTTCTCGTTATGCGTTTCGAATGAGATTGTCTGGAAATGTATTTCCTGCACTAAACAAACTTTCCAATTTTTGGTTGCTGTTCTTCGGGTGAAGATGGCTGTGCACTCGGATATTCTTGTTATTTGTGCCTTTGCTTTTCCTACTAGTTGTGACTTGTGATCTAATAGTTGAGAATTTTCATGATTTTCCTGCACAATTTTCTCATTGTATGACAGTATGAAACATATTTTAAAACGAAAATATGACAGCAGAAACATAAAACAGTTGCTAATCGAAACCGAAACCGAAACCCAAAAATAAAAATAACTAAATATTACTTATACTCGTGATATAAAACACAGTAATTAAATAAGGATAAAAAAAAAAAAAAAAAAGACTTGGTTTCTCCATGTACTCGGACAGAGACGGAATTCGAGAGCATATCTGAGGAAATATACTTTACAGTTATAACTAAACATCACAATAAAAAAAGGAAAAAAAGAAGTTTCTATACATAATTTCGATTTATCATGGGATTTTCATCAACTTCCAGCATCTCGGCAAACATTTGCATTTGGATTTGCATTTCCATTGGAACGAGGAAAAACTCAAGAACTTGTGATCGACATAACTCTTCAAGCAAGATAGTTGTACACTTGTGGGTTGTTTTTGTCACGCTCAAGGTACTCTCTGTCTATGAGGCTCTCGATTCTTTTCTTCAAATCAGCTGGTTTTATTGGAAACTTGAGCTGTATAATCATCAATCAGCACATCAATTAAATCAACTATGCACATTATTTATATGCATTTGAAGCAGAAGAAAAACTGAGAGATGCGAATATTCTTCTTTACCTGCTGAAAGAGTTCAGTTATCAATAGAGTGTGACTCAGCATTTTCCTTGTTTTCATTATACGAACAATGGCAGCATCAACCTGTGTATGGAAAGTGCAGCAAAAAATAGATTTAGTTTATATTTGAGAGAGGACAATTTACACTGTATCAGTCATATCACATTCAAATGTGTTGGGAAAAGGATATTTTAGAAGAATTTGAAAATTAAAGAAATATATATTTGTATTCCAAAGAGAAACTTTTGATTTTTTTTTTTCTCGAGATTTTGAAGATCGATTTTGAGAAGCTGTACAAACACAACTTTACCTGGTATTGACGGTCTTGGAACACCCTTTCTGTAGTGCTGGTATTCTCCTCAATTGTTTCCTTCATCTGAATGGCATTGACCTGCTCATGATAAATATATATAGGTCAGCCTATTAGTACCATGTTAATCCAGCAAGCCAATGACTACCCAATTGAGAAACGAAATTCATCTATGTAAAACTCTCGCATTTCAAATTTCAAAAAAACAATTCACCTACCTTTATACGATATAGAGGAGCAGCAAATTGATCGTTGAAGACAAAGGTATCATCATCTTCCACGTCTCTGCCTTTAGGCATCTGCAAGGCCGAATTTTTTATTATTACTCATCAAATGAGAGAAAATATTTTTTTTGTGTCAGCCAATGAAATTAAGGGAATTGATTTCTCCAGAAATGAATACTCACTTTCTGAAGAACGCGGAATTTTCCACATGCAAGGGACTGCAAAGTTCTACGAAGCTCTTTATCCTCAATACCAGTAGATTCCTTTATATCTTGAAAGCTGAGCTTTTGTGCATCATTGAACAGCATCAACACAACAGTCTGGGAAATAAGACAGCAGATGCAATAACACGATGAAGTTAGATTGTAATGCCAATGAATAAATATGAACGAGGAGAAAAAGTTATGAGCCAACCTGAAATAGAGAAACTGCTAGCTCCTTTCTTCCTTTCGGAAATTCTGCTTTTAGGACACAGTGACCCAATGAATTTTGCCACATTAATCGCCTCCCACTGTACTTGCTTAAATAGAACTCCTTAAAAATATCCTGAAGAATTTTTTATTGCAAAAAAAAAAAAAAAGGTGTAAGTTTACAGAACATTATGCTTTGAATCAAACTAACTGCATACATATCCACTCCTTCAAACCTGATACACGTTGAGTTCATGAGGCAGCCGAACATCCATGGGAGGATAGGTCGGCCAATACCTGCAATCAGCAAAACCATACATGTGCTTGGTACTCAGAAGACTTGTAACAGAGTTAAAATTTGTGCAAGATTAAGAGAAATACAGAAGCAGTGAATTACAGCAACTTACCCAGTTGTTAAGACATGAACACTCATCTCGATTCCAGATGGCAGTTTCGTTCGAGCTTGGGATGATTGCTTGAATGATTCATTAATCTCTTTTGACAATTCAATGTCCTGAATTAATGATTTTCAATGTTATTAAGACATTGATTTAGTCTTGGTTGATAAAATAGAATAGAAAGTTAAACGGACTACTACAGAACAGTTTGATGGGTATCTTTGGTATCTCGGTTTTTTTTTTTTTTTTGCGCTTTCTAATATATGTCTAAAGTAGACTTAGCAGGCTAGGGAAAGGAGTAACTAAGATTCAGCAAAAGTCCCCTACGTAGCATTTTGGAAAACCATGTTGAAGTTTTTAAAAAGGGAACCAGCTGCTCCAATTTGTCCAATCTCATTTTCTAAAAACTCTAATTCAGCACAAGTGCTGTAAGAGATGATACTCATTCAGTTTCATGGAAGGTTGAGAAACATGTCACTTGGTTTCTCTGAAAACTTCACCATAAAAATTCCAAGTAAAGCGCATCAGGCTTTAACGCCAAAATAAACACGAACCTTGAACATTCCTTCAAGTTTGTTGGTAAATTGACTGCCGCACTCTGTTTTCAACTGCAATAAGATATTCCATTTTTTTCATTTTGCGTATATATTAAAAATTTCGGTGGCGATTGAAGAAATATCAGAAAAATAAGAAGTTTTACCTTAGAAATCATTGATTTCTCTGCATCAATAGATGCACTTTTACCGAGCAAGAGCCTTTTAGCAAGATCTTTCTTATAGAATGCTTCAAATACATCCTTACCCTGCATGACGAGTGACACAGAAATTATAAGTACTTCAAAATTTGTATGGCAATATAAATATATACCAACACTATGTCTACAGAGATGAAAGCTTAGTAGCATCCATTTACCTGTATAAATCTGAACAAGACCAAAACTTTGTCTAGTGTGCCCTCCAATTCCTCCTCTGAGGTTCCCTTATTTCCGGCACGAAGCTTCTCATCAACAAACTTGGCAATTAACTCAGCAGGTCGGTTCTGAAAAAAATTATAATACTACATGAATATTGTGTAACTGGTTACAGATAAATATCAGTTAATGCCGAATTCAGATGCTAATATTGATTAGCTATGATAGTTCAGTCCGATCCAGAAGCACCAAGAACAATTTTATGATTTTCTATGATTCCAACCTCAGTAAGACTCACACCTCTCACACTGCTATTGGACTTTCAATTTATTTCATGATTCAAGATGAAAATTAACAAATCCAAGCAATGACTACGACTAACTAATAATATAGTCGCTATTACTTCATAGATGTGATGTCACAAGTCAACTTGTAACCAATATACACAGCAAACATGAAACTTCTATATTTTCGGATGGTATAGTTTAGGATGTTTTTATGCTGGAAGTAGAGTAGGAAATCATACTAATGACAAAATTATAGTACCTGGCGAATATTAATGAGATGCTCAAACGCATCCTTGATGGTATTGCTAAATGAATCATTTTTATAAAAGCTTTCTTCCCATATTCTATCAAGATTTGCCTTGAAATCCAATAAGCTAGACACCATATCTTTGTCCTTTTCTTCATCCATGACAATACTCTGGCCAGTTTTTCGTATGTATTGATTAAGGGACTGCCTCAATGATTCAAGGGCATTGACTCTGGAGAAGAGCAAATACATTCTCTGAAGGTCGTCAATACGCTTACCGTCCATTAACATCATAAAACCCTGCACAAGTAGATCGGAAATATTAAAGCATACATATGCAAGTCCAATAACTACATATAGATCTAATTTTTTATCTGGAAATAGCCACCTTATCCAGAATAGCAGATATATGACGCTCAAGAAGTTGCCTTTCTGCAGTTGCTACTAGTGGCTTTCTTGTACTTGCATCGATGTAGAGTAAGCATCTTTCATTTTCTTCTTGCAACCTTATCTGGAAAATCATATAACTGAATCTTGTGAAGAAGTGGAACAACAATAAATGTAAACATCCAAGATCTAATGACGGAAATCTGAATAAAGAGCAGAAGATAAATGCAGCATGAATTTGTACCTCTACATGCTTTAAATAATCTGGAACATCTGCCTGCTGCATATATTTGACACCTTCAGCTGCATAAAATTCAGATGTACGTTCGAGGAATGGCTTCTCAAAGCTTTCAGGGTAAATTCCCAATGCAGTGAACATCTTGAGAAGATGATTAAGGAGCGTCCTATCAACTGATTCCCCTAGTCTACATGAGCAAACAAAAATAATAATAATATTAGAACATACATGTAAAATCCTACGTTTTGAAAACCGGGCTTGTTCACATTCCAAATAGCATTTTTAAAATGCAGTCACTAATAAAATCAGATGAGATTCTTTCATACAGACAAATGTCTAATAACTATAGAAATATAATAGATCCTGTATGTAAGAAAATTTTAAGTATAGATAGATTGTGGATTACCTCTCGCTCTCAATCATTTTTAGAAGACCAAATACAGTTTTGTGCTCCACTTCTGCAGCTAGAGCAAGATGTTTGTGGAAAAGCTGCAAGCCCATGTCCCACAATGAACGTACGTTGGGAGTTTGCTTCACGTATGTTCTATCAAGAAATAATGCTATACCCCGGATCATTAACATCTGGTCGCAAAAATCCTGCCAACAGTTCTCTACAAGTGATAAGAAAACCACCAGATCTTCACTTTGGCCAACCAAAGATTGTAGAGCGGCAGATATGTGGAATTCACACTCTTTTTCAATTCTTTGATAGAGATTTCCACCCAACTTGTGCAGGCAAAGGTTATTGACAGCCTTAATATCACACGATGGTCAATCAGCATTTATGAGAAAGTGCATAACAGAAGAAAAAAGGAAAGCAACTACACTTACCTGATAGAGCTTCTCCAAATCACATGGATTAGGCTGCTTCAAAAATATAGTACTGATAGCAGACTTGAGTATTTCCCATGTAGTTTCCTCAAAGTTACTCGGAAGAGTCGGTTTGGCTTCAGACAAGAATCACAAAATTAACAGTTAAGAATATTTCCTTGAAGTAATAGACAAAATGTTTATCCACAATACTTCAGAATCTATTGTTATGAGAGAAACCAAAAATTAAAAATCAAAGTGAATAGTGACCTTCAGAGCAACTCTAATCGTAAAGTTTAAAGCAGTTAAGTGTAAGTGTTGAGATATGAGAAACATGTACACAACAAGAAACCAAAGAACAAACTCCAATACTTGTTGCTTATTATTATGTTGGAATTATTTGTCAGAATTAGCCCCTTGAAGAAAACTATAAAGATTGAACCACCGAAAAGTTTTGGCCCAATGTTCATCTACAATAAGAAGCCACACTAGGTTTTTGCTAAAGTCATACATTCAAAAATGTAACACCTGGCAAAAGAAGTTTTAAGACTAAATAGACAATTTAAGTAATTAACCCAAAACATCTAAAAATCCAGTGTTAAAACGCATGAATCAGCTGGAACAATTTAACTCATGATTAATTATCAGCTTAAAAGATTTCTAATTCATACAATTGGAAGTGACAGAAACACTTCTTAAAAGGTGAGAAAATACCAGATCTTCACATATTACCCCCAAAAGAAATAGAACTACATTAAACATAAAAAAAATTCTAATGATTTACAGAATCCACGAACAAAATTCCCATACCAAACCAGCCAATCAAAGACATGAAAACCCTAACAATTTCACCTCAACTGGAGAAGCACAAAAAGTAAAAATCGGATTGACTTTTCCCAGAAGTGAGTACACTTAAGACCACTATAAAAAAAACGCACAATCAGAAAATTCCCAATGCAAAAATACCAACCTCTAAAGAGCTTAATTACGAGTTTTTTCGTGGGTTGAGGCGGCGTGGCCTTCTTCCGGGACAAATTAGAGGTGATTCCTCCGCAGGAAGTAGCACCGACGCGTCCGAAAGCGCTGGACGGTGAGGAGGCATCCAAAACGGCATCATTCGGATCGTCTTCAATCATCGGGGAGAGAGCGGGGGTTTCAGCGAAGTGCACGTGAGGAGTGGGCTGCTGCTGCTGCTGCCCGTTCATATTCCCGTCCAGCGAGCACGAGACGCCCTGCGACTTGGCCTTTTTCAATGCCGGAAAAATTGGGGATGCGGCGGCGGCGGCGGCGATAGGTGTGTTGGCGTTGGGGTTGGTGGAGGAGGAGCGTTTATTAGGGTTGGTGGAGCTGGAGTTTGTGCGTTGAGACATAGAGAGTGATGAAATCTCAGGGGGAGCTCCTCATTACAGGAGAGAGAAATATAGAGAGAGAGAGAATTAACAGAGTAACGCTCCGAGATGAGGAAAGGAGAAATGGGAGAAATTCCCCTTTGCAGTAATAAATTGCTCTCAGAGACTTCGATTTGATTTTTGATTTAATTTTTGATTTTTTATTTCTGAGGTTTTGGGCCTTGTATATGGGCTTAGGTCATCTTGGTTCTTCGAGCCCATAATTCTAGAACTTTATAGATGTTTTTATATATAATATTGGAAAACGATATAAAATATTGTACTAGTGAAATGAAATCATATGAAGGTGTTGGAAAAGGATATTTAATATAAAAATCTGAAAATAAATTAATATTTGCTTGTTTTTTAAGATCATTTTTTTGATTTTTTTGATTTATTTATTTTTAATTTGAAAAATATGAAGACGTTGCCAAACATTGATTGATTTACAATTTGGATTAGAGGGTTTATTTCTCTACCTTCTTTATGTATTATTATTTTAGAATATATATATAGGTCTCTCTTGAAAATAAAAATTGAGTCTTGATGACATTAATTAGTATAAATATGGTTTTTTTTAATCCGGCAGGCAGCGGACGAGGAGATGGTGCCATTAGTGGAGGAGGGGAGGATGGTGGTGGTGGTGGTGGTGGTGGTGGAGGAGAAGAGGAAATTGAGAAGTTTTCCGATTTGTTTACTGTGTGTACTTGTTGTGGCGGTAGCGGTGGCGGTGGCGAAAGTAGAAGCTATTGTTTGACACCTCCTTGTTAAGAGAGGGATAGATGGCAGCGGGAGGTAACGTATGATAAGTGGCGATGATTATCGAGGTAACGTATGAGAAGTGGCGATGATTATCGAGGTAACGTATGAGAAGTGGCGATGAATTGTTATATACATTTCAAAAATATATAAATGGATGAGAGACCCAAATAATACTATTTTTATATCTAAAATCCTTGCTCAGTTTAATTAATGAACTAGGAAGTAGTGACATTACATAATTAAATAACAAGAAAAATCTACTCATTCTACATTTAATTTCATTATGCCAAACTCAATACAAACTACTAGCAAGAATGAAAGCATATGTCCTAATTGCCATAGCCAAGGCACCTACGAAAAATCCCTTTATCTTAATAAACCAAAAGGCAAACAAGCAAAGAAAGGAATTCACCTCTTAATTTATAGTCTCTTTCGATTTTCTTTTCATTCCCCCTTTCCCCTCTCTCTCTCTCTCTCTCTCTCTCTCTCTCACACACACACACACACAGACACACACATTCCTCTTTCCCTCTCTCACATGGAAAATTTTGTTAGCAGGATTACTATGTTAAATGTTCTTCTCGGCTTATTTCTAACTTTATCTGGTATACATGCCCACTCTTTCCTCTATATATAGATTGACTTCGATATATTGATTAAATTATTCTTATAAACTGTGAAACTAAGATAAAATCTGAACAGGTTTTCATTTTCCAAAACAAGTGGAGGCGCTGGGCATCAACTACGGCCAAGTGGGAAACAATCTGCCGCCGCCGGAAAGAGTCCTCGACCTCCTCCACTCACTCCGGCTGACGAAAGCCAGAATCTACGACACAAACCCTCAAATCCTGACAGCATTCGCAAACTCCAACATCGAACTAATCGTCACTGTAGAAAACCAAATGCTGCCCACTTTAACAGATCCGAACCAAGCCTTCCAATGGGTTGCCACCCACATAAAGCCCTATTTTCCGGCGACCAACATCACCGGAATCGCTGTCGGGAATGAGGTTTTCACCGGTGGTGACACCTCACTGGTTTCTTACCTTGTACCAGCATTGGTCAGCATACACAACGCTCTAGTTCGATTCGGGTTAGACCAATTCATCAGGGTTTCAACCCCTAGTTCGTTAGCGGTTCTTGAAGAATCTTTCCCCCCTTCAGCAGGTCGTTTCCGGGTCGAACTTACCCGGATAATGCCCCAGTTCCTGCAGTTTTTATCCGCCACAAGAGCTCCATTTTGGATGAATGCCTACCCGTATTTCGCGTACAAATCCGACCCGAATAACATCTCTCTAGACTACGTACTTTTCAACCCGAATACAGGAGTGGTGGATCCATACACAAATCTACATTACGATAATATGCTGTACGCTCAAGTGGATGCTATAATATTCGCTATGGCGAAAATGGGCTACGGAGGAGTGGAGGTAGGGGTTTCAGAAACAGGTTGGCCTTCGCGGGGCGACCCGAATGAAAACGGGGCGACCCTGGAAAACGCTGCGGTCTATAACGGGAACTTGTTGAGGAGGCAGGTGAGGAGAGAAGGGACTCCGTTGAGGCCTCAAACGGGGTTAGAGGTTTACATGTTTGCGTTGTTTAATGAGGATATGAAACCGGGCCCCACTTCAGAGAGGAACTATGGTTTGTTGGAGCCCGATGGAACCATGGCGTACAATATCGGACTGTACGTAGATTCCAGGACCAACGAAGTAAAACCATAGGTTCTTTAATTTATTTTCCTACAGTTTATTGTTCACACACAAATATAGATATGAACATGTAAATAAATATACTGTGCTTCTTTTTTTCTACCTTGTTTATTTGGAATTTATATATTATCAAACAGGTTAAACAAAGAGATGAACAAGTATACACAGAACAGAGCATGAGCAAAGTATGCAAAATAATTCAGATATGTATTGCTAAATGCTACAGAATAATTTCATTTCAGACACTCGATTGACTTTGACGAGTTTACTACTAATCGATACAAAATTTCATCTGATAGTAAAGTAAAGTTTCTTGATTTATCGTTACCCCGCAACATAATCAAGCAATTTGCAACGGATCAAGTCAAGAGGGTTTAATATAGTACCATTATAATAATGTTTCCTATAAATATAACAGTCTATTCGGCAATATTAATCAATAAATATAGACAAATTTATAAAGTTAAAAATAATCACACCTTCTAATGCATACTACCAGGCAGTAATAAAGATAGAAAATCACTTACAATACAAGAAGTACATATATAATACAGCCATATCACATGTAATCACATCATTCCTATTAATACATGGGTTCAGCCAGAACCTTTATTAACAATAACCTATGTTCGTTAAATTTTGAATAGCACACTGCTTAATCGTTTAATGAATAAAATGGATCCACATAGAATACAGACGAGAACAAAAGTATCGTTTGGGAGGACAGTGATGAACAAATATGATAAAAAGGACAACAATTTCAAAGTGGTGAAATATAAAAGAGATGTATGTGCACCTTCACTGAAGTATTTGGCTGCCATAATCGGAGTTAAATTGGTCGTAACGGTGTGCATGGAGATGCGCAGAAGGCCTGGTGTTCCTCAGTGCTACATCTATGTCTCCAGGTGTAATTGGTCCAACCTTTGGTAACTCTGCATGCCGAAGTTACTATTAGTGTACCAATTTATAATCAGCAACATTAGAACATACCATGATACCAATCTTATTCTTTTCTTTTTCTTTTTGGATAAAGTGGTTTCAGTGACTGATTATGTAATTTTAAAAAATTCCAGTTTCAGTGCCGTAATTGAAATAGCATGTTTTGTGTTGTGTTCTTCATTCATATTTTAAGGGGACCAGAATGACAAAGGATGACATGTAAAAATTACTTTTTTTCCGAGTGTGGGCATGTAGTTGCACAAGAACATAACTCATTAGAAGGATGGGACATTATTTTTAGAGGGTTATTACAGCTATTGATGAAGCCTAGCCTCTAGGATTTATATTTTTAACATTCACTTAGCGGAAGGATGTGTAGTAACTTTTAAGACAGCAGCACAAACTTTTAAGATGCCCTTCAAGCTAAGTAAATTGCAAGTTGCAACGATGCTAGGGTTCTCTGCAATATATGGTGAAGTAAAACGACCTAGATTTGCATGTTCGATTCATCCCTTTTTCTCTTATTTCCCTTTGTTGCATTCTTTCAATAATCCCAACCAACAAGTCTCCTAAAAGCAATAGTAATCACAGATTTAACGTAAAAGCAGTAGATTATAGATTAGTAAAGCATACCATCCTCAGGGACCAGTTCCTGTTTATCCTCAAGAAATGTCATTATACGTCGCAATGGTTGCATGGCAGCTTCTTTGCATAACAGACGAATATCTGAACCTGAAAAACCTTCACTCCTCTCCACCAATACATCATAAGGAAGGTCCTCGTTAAACTTTGACGGCAGTAATTCCTCAAACATCCCTCTTCTTGCTTCTGGTTCGGGAAGAGGTACAAGGATCTAATCAACAGAAGAGGAATATTACAAAAAACAATGAGGAAATTATGAAATAGTCAGCAAATTAAGAAATGTTTGACACAAGTCTTCCTAACTAGAAACTTGTCAATTAAGTTACCAACAGAAGGAAAAACAAAGGGCTAAAGCAAAATATGAATGTATAGGTGTTGATAAAAGTTGACATAAGTGCATAATGATTTTTCTTATACCTGTGAAATAATTGAAGCATCAGATTATCAAAACATACCCGTTTTTCGAGACGCCTAAGCATGGCTGCATCTAGTTCCCAAGGGAGATTAGTTGCAGCCAGAACAAAAACAAGTTCATCTGTTCGTGTCAAACCATCCATCTGTAATTTAGTAAAAGCCATTATTTTTTTGTTAGGCACAGCTTTAACTCAATCTCTCTTAACGACCAATATAAACAGAAGAAATAGCTTTGTGGGTTAGTTAGCCCTACAAACAGATAAGATACATCTTAATTAGAAATTAAGAATGACATTTTGTCTCAGTATTACAAGTTTTAGATGCGTTTTCTGTATATACAAGGATAATCATCCTTAACTAGCTCAATTGGCAACTTCAATGTGTATGCAACTATGCATAATTATGTTATTTTTCTATGAACCACTTGAAATAAAGGTGCATGGGAATAAGGAAAAAAATTATTTTATCAATAATTTTTACATTTATAAAGTATAAGACGTAAGAATAAGCTTACTGAATCCTAAAAAAGGGAATTCCTTTAAAGTGGCAGTATGAGTTAAAAAATCCAAGGACATCATAGAGAAGGACCATACATACTGCTTCAGAAAATATGCAGCAGTCCTACAACGTTTCACATTTATTATTGGGGTCATCAAGCATTTTTTGGTTGATGATGAATAAGACTAGCATCACTTGTTACTTTGTAGACAAAAAAAATAAATAAATAAATAAATAAATAAATAAATAAAAAATTATATGACATCATAGAGAAGGACCATACCTACTGCTTCAGAAAATAAGCAGCAGTCCTACATGTTTCACATTTATTATTGGGGTCATCAAGCATTTCTTGGTTGATGATGAATAAGACTAGCATAACTTGTTACTTTGTAGACAAAAAAAAAAAACAAATAAATAAAAAATTATATGACCTGTATAAGCAACTCAGTCTTCAGACGCCTACTTGCTTCATGTTCACTGCGAGCTTCACCTCGCTGGCTGATAATTGCATCAATTTCATCCAGAAATATTGTTGAGGGTGCGTGATGCCTAGCAAGCTCAAACAATACTTTCACCAATTTTTCAGAATCACCTGCAACGAAATACATTTTATCTCAATGGAACATGAATGCCGAGGTAAATGTTCATCTAGTTTTCTAAAGTTACAAATCGCGAAATCCTCTTTTTAACTTTTAGTCTTTAGAATCTCGAATACTTGAAATTTTGAGAGGGTGGTGAGTTATCTTAAATAATCCTTATAAACCAAGTCTAGCAGATAACAATCTGCAGAAAGCTAGAGCTGAAGGTAAAGAAGAAACATAATCATTGAAATTCAAAAGAAATTGCATCAAAGAGAGTTATTGCATGCCTCAAGAAGGTAACCAATATCATATAGTGAGTAACACTACAAGTCTACAAGTATACTTGATATTAGCTTAGAAAGTGGTCTAGTTAGTCCTAGTGAAACTGAAACATGCATTTCTGACTGAAGTATAACCAGCAAAGAGGAAGAAGAAAACAACTAAGATTACCACTGAAATAGAATTACAGCAATATAATGCAGCCAATAAATGTTTTACTAGGAGCCGAGTAGGTGACAAGAAAGGATGATCATAGGCGAATCAATAAAGCACAATATCTTACCCCTCCATTTGCTGACAATTGATGAGGCAGAAATGTTGAAGAATGTAGTTTTGCATTCTGTTGCAACAGCTTTTGCCAGCATAGTCTGCAAATTTGAAGGGAGGTGTAGAACATATGATGTGTTTATAGTAACAACCATTATTTATTTTCAAAATAGGGCAAATTAGTACTGGACAATATGACAGAAAACAGGGGATTAAAAGAAAAAGGATCTAAGAAAGTGGCAGAAAATAAATATTTTACTACAAAGCTTAGAGTTGGGCTCTAACTTGATATCGTTAATACTTATTACAAGTGACACCAGTATCCTGTATTCAGTTTGCAATCTTGAATTCAATTTCTATGCAATCATGCGAGAAACAAACTTAGACAAATAATACATATTCGATGAGCTTGGATCAATGCACCTTATGACCTAAATCAAATCTTCAAAAACCATGTCTACCAAGTGATAACAGATAATTACATACGGAGAATCAAGTACATTTTACTGTTCAATACACAATTACTTGCACTGAGAAGTGAGAGCAGAAAACAAATGAAGTGGAACACAAACCTTTCCCGTTCCAGGGGGGCCGAAAAGAAGAATGCCTTTCCATGGTGATAGAAGACCAGTAAAGTACCTGTTAAAGGAAGACGTGCAAATCAATTTCAAGAAGCCAAACTTAAATATTCTGCATAAAATGAACACTCCAATTATAAGACTGACTTTGGATATTTTATTGGCATCACAACAGCTTCTTTGAGAAGCCGTTTAGCATTTTCTAACCCTTTTATGCTATCCCAGCTAACATCTGGGCTACCACGAATAATATCTCTGCAAATAATGAAACAAGAGAAATATGCACAGATCAGTAAACATGAGAAGTTCTCAAAAAAAAAAACGTAAACATGAGAAGTTGATCAAAACGAATAAAGCTATCCAGTAACAGAAATGGGTACTCATTCGTGTGAAGCCAACAGTGCCATTACTCACCTACACAAACTCTCTGCCAAAGCACGTACTTCTGCTGATTCGAAAGGAGGAAGTAATGATTTCTGCCTGAAAGTGAACATTAGATGTCAGGGATGCCTAGACAGGAAGGGGATTCTTCAAAAGTTATCATGCCTCCAGAATTTAGCTACGCCGACTAAGTTCATATGACACATTTGCGGTCAGGTGGCAAACTAGAAGAAAATTGTGTAAAAGCAAGATATGGTACTCGGGTAATTTGTAGGAATAATAATGTCTTCAACCAGTTTATCCATTCATGAAACAAAGCTAAGAAAGTTTAGAACCATGCATTCATTGTGAGAACCAATAACTCTAGCTCATCACACGTACAAATTCACATAGGGAGAGACTAAAGACTTAATCAAACTAAAATTGTTCCTCAAACGACTCCTCTATTGGCCTTTGAGAGGTACCATTTTTAGCAAGTAAACTTAACATACAGCACTCAGGATCAAACTCATCTTATATGAAGGAAAATATCTGATCTACTTAGAATGCTCCGAAAATCTACTAGCTACTGGAAAGCCGAAGATTAAGAAAATGGATTTGTGCATCCACCAACAAGAAGTACCTTACAACAACTCTTAACTTCAAAAGATATTGGTTTCCACTTAGTAAATTCTTTGTAAATGCAGATGTTTATTTCATAAATATAACTTGCCTTTGTTCTTGACATATAGATGCATGATAACAGTTTATAGGTGGGAGCTGGGTAAAATTGCTTGAATCAATCATTTAAGTTACTTGATTATGATCTTTATCGACTTAAGGATCAATATCCTGTACACGATATCACCATGTACAAATATGGAAGGAAAAACCTATTAAATGAAATACCATATAGTTACTGCAGAAGACAATATGTTCCAAATATCCTTATAGGTGAATTCTGAGAAGGACAAAAACCGTTTTGCCTTCTGCAATGCAAGCTTACATTTAGGATGAAACGAATACAATAGCTTGAATCCAATCATCCAAGAGAGCTAAAAAAACAGGATATAGACTTCAACTTCTTTTTCCAGTATAAGATTTAAATAAATAACACATAAACTACCAATTCTAAGGCGTTTTTCCTAGGTGAAAAACAGTTTTGCTGGTCGCCATAAACATCTTGGTTTAGATCACTCATTACTAGATAAGTATATATCACTTGTTTCGTTCATGTTTGGCATGGCAACATTCATTTAAAATTAGTGGCAAAGTATGAGGGAGGAAGATCATACGGCTTTTCATCAACTCCAGCAAGTGAGGTTCCATTAGAATGCACCCCATTCCCGCGACCCTAGAGCATAATAATCATGTCAAAACCACATAAAACCAAATTTACATCAATCAAGTGTGAATCAAAATCTAAAATACCTGGTTGGCATACTGTTCATAATTAGCCAAGTTGGACGTGTTGTTCACACGCTCACTTCCATTTGATGCCCCATTCGTGTAACTCCCGTTATTCACAGTTTGACCGTTTGCAGGCATATCTTTGGCCACAACTTCCTTCTTCCTCCCAAATTTGGAATCGTAGAACAACTTGAATTCCTAGATCGTACACCCAGCAGATGAATTCTATATAAATTTTGGTATTCTCGTCATTCGATTAGACAACATAACCATAATTTGGTCATAGATCGATTCATTTGCACAGATTTGCACTTCATTAGCTATATACCTAGTTTATGTACAATGAACCATGTAATACAAACAGAAACAAGTATTGATTAACCACAGAAATTGGGAATGGTTTTCAGCTACTATATCATGCTCGTAAGGTTATACAAAAGGGAAAAGGAGTGAGTAAATCTGAGAAACTACAATATTCCTATAATGGCGACGATTTACCAACACATAAGAACAGGCCATAGAATTCAGTGCTTCTCCGGTTGTACCTTAGCTGCATCAAAATCTCCGGTACAACGGTAATGCTTATACGGTTGTACCTAATTGAATCAGCGAAGATAAACAAAACTAAAATTCTGATGAATTCGCCGACTCACAGTCCTAATAAGTCAACGCACAGCACCAAAATGCAAAACAGATAGATACAGGATCACCATGGAAACGCAAATGAAGGAAATTCGAATGTACCTGAAACGACAAGCGAGTGGGCATAGGCTCGTCGTCGGCCATCAGAAATGCAGAGGAGAGAGAGATTTATTGGAGATACTCTTCAGCCGTTTCCCCTCTCTAGAACATAACTCACACACACACCCGAACGGATGCGTGTTTGTGTGTGTGTGTTTGTGTGTGTAAGTATAGTTCGATCTCCAGTCGGCACAGTCTATGTAGATGTGGAGATCGAAGCACGTGCTTTCCCCTTTTTTCTGTTCAGAGTTAGTGACAGAAACGGGAAATTAAAAAATATTATAATTAATAAGAAGTAAAAAATTAAATATTAATAATAATAATAATAATAATAATTCACCTGAGAGAGGTGTGGCGCAGAATCTTTTCCAGTGAGTACTATAGAAGACAAGGGCACCAGTGAAACTGATTCAGTTACATGACGGTACATCAACGACCAATGAAAATGACTCTTTTTACTTAACCTATGTTTTAATTACACGTTTAAAGAGTGTTTTAACTTTTAAGTAGGTGTGCGTTGGGTTTACCAAACCCTCGTGCTACTACTATTACCGAAATTAATAAATTTTGAAATTTTGGTACTAAACTCTTAAACACGAATTAAATCACAATTAATGAAACCATGAGCTAACCTTTGGACTAGGAAACTTAATGACATAAATGGCCTTGTCGTTATCCTACTGCAATAGTTCTTCCTAACTAAATTGAATAACTCATTTTTTTTAAGGGGTAATATGCTAGGAGTCCCTCAAACTAAACCTAATTTGAACTAAATGACAAGTCTAAATTCATTCTTTTAATTAAATCCTTAATTTGAAATAATATATGAGTCACATCCCTAATTTTTTTTATATCCCAATTTTGCCCTTATACCCTAAATCCCCTAACCTACATATATTCACGTTTTTTTATTCAGATTTATTTATTCTTTCGGTATTCTCTCCGTTCTCTCTCACACGTTCTCTCCCTCTCACACGTTCTCTCTCGTTTTTTTTTCTCTATCACCTTTCCATCTCTATATCTCTCTTGCTTTCTTCTCCAGTTGTAGCACAAGGCAAAGGACTGTGGTGCACGAGGCGGCAGCAGGGGGTCGTGGTGGTGGAGGTGGCGGGGCTTTGATAGTCGATGCGAGCCGGGGCTGACCCGCCATAGTGGTCGAGGCGGCGACGGGGGTTGTCCCGCTATGGTGGTTGTAGGGGCCGTGGCGGGGTCTGTGGAGGTCGATGGCGATGGGGCTGTCCCGCTATGGTGGTTGTGGCGGCCGTGGGGGGCTGTGGAGGTCGATGAAGCGGTGAGGGATATGGTGGAAATTTAAATGAAAGTATATTCTTTACTAATTGCCTCTGCTTTCTTGATCTTCAAGAAATTTTGTTTGATTTGGGTTAAAAATAGTAAATCAAGGTTTTCTCAATGTCGATAGTTGACTATGGTTGCGACGGCTGCGAAGGTAGGCGGCTAGGGTTTGACGGCTAGGTTTTGACGGCTAGGTTTGGTGAGATTTGTGTTGTTGGTTGCTAGGGTTTTGTAGTACACCGTAGTAGATCATAGTACACCACAGTATACTATAGTCTACTACAATATTAAAAAAAATAGATTAAATTAAAAAAATAAAAAAAAATGTAATTTGAATTTAAAAAAACGAAAAACACCTTGTTTTTGTAATTTTCAATATAATGTAGAAAAAGTGATTTTTTATTTATATTAATACTTTAATTTATAATACAACAGTGTACCATAGTATATCATAGTACACCATAGTAGTTTTTAAAATTTGCTTTATTTTTAATCAAAACGAGAAAAAAAATTCGTAATTTTAAATCAAAAAAACGGAAAAAAATAATTTGTTTATAATAATGTAAAAATATGATAAAGTAAAAAACAATAAAATAAAAATGAGTAAAAGGGCATTTTTGGAATGAATTTAATAAAGGATGTGAAGCAAATGTTTAGTTGAGGTTAGGGGTGCAAGTTGGAACGGAATTTCCAATTTTCGCCGGTTCCGATCCGAAAAGTTCCGATTTTGGAGCAACTTTTTTCATTCCGAATTCCGAAAATCCGGTTTCCGATTTTTTCCGATTTTTTTGGATTGGAATTGGAATTATATAAAATATATATGGAATTTCCGATTTCCGGTCCGATTTAATTCCGAAATTAATTCCGGAAAATTCTGATTTTTTTCCGAAAAATACACTTATAAATATATATATTATATAATTCTTATTTTCCGAATAATACACCTATAGGCTATAAGGTTTGTTTTAGGATTTTGACATAATGAATTTTTGTTCGAAGTTTTATTGGAATTATGTTGTGTTTCTTTTTATTAATTCTTTTGAACTGAAATTTAGTAGTTATTAGTTTTACTTTTATCGACATGGATGTTCTTATTTTTTAAAAATTACGAACATTTTAGAAAATTTCGGCTAAGTTTTGAAATTTTAAAGCTTATGTGATTTCCGATTTTTTTCCGAAATTCCGAAATTTCCGGGGCTTTTGGAATTGGAATGAATTTTTAGATTCCGAAAATTTTGGAATTGGAATTGGAATTGATTTTGTACTTCCGAATTTTTTTGGAAATTTTCCGAAAAGGCTAATTCCGATCCGATCCATCCGACTTTCACCCCTAGTTGAGGTTGTCATTTAGTTCTATTTAGTTTTGTCACTAGGGACCTATCTCTTAAGACCCCTTTTTTTAAACAATATATAACTAATTCTATAGATATTTAATTTTATAAGATTTTCCAATAATCAAAATAAACTATTTAATTTATAGTAATGGATCATATTTTTACAATGGGCCCGGACCAATAAATAATGGGCTTATGCATGTTTTACGGGCCTAAGAGAACGCCGGTAGCAGCCCGATCCATAATTGTTGCTTACCTATTTGCTATTTCAGTATTTCTTAAAGAAATCGTCTTCTTTTTTCACCTGATTTTCTACAATAAATTATTAATAATAATAATAATAATAATAATAATAACAATAATAATAATAATAATAATAATAATAATAATAATAATAATAATAATAATAATAATAATAATAATAATAATAAAAGTTCCAATGTTGATAGATTTACTTCATAAGTGATGTTGTATCAATTACTTTTGGTAAATTAAATAAAAATTCTAGGATAATCGCTGCAAGTGAGTAGATGATCTATGTAGAGTCTTCACCACGCGAGGAGCATAAAACGCTTGGATCTAGAATCTGCAAGGGTAAGCGCAAATATAAACTAAACAGGGGTTGATCCGATGAAAACTCCGCCGACTCTTATGTCAGTAGTTGCCTACGCAAGCATTGAGGATAGGTCACACGAATTCTAAAAACTCGGATGAATATGAGTCATATGCAGGGGCGGATTCTCAATAGGGTAAGAGGCAGCCCCCCCCCCCCCCCCCCCAGAATTTTAAAAAAACAAAGATATATTACTTATATATACATATATATAATTACACTCTAAATATTTAATATAAAATAAATATTAATACAAAAGGAAGGAAGAAAAAGGAACAAAGTCATCAGGCACACAACCAAGAAGAAAAAAGTAAAATTGAAAAATCTCATTGATTAATTATTAAGATATAATATTTTCTTAATTGTATTTTAATTCTTAAGAGAAAGAGTTTTAAAACAAATAAAATTTTATCAATATAGGAATTGGTTTAACAATAGGTTTCTTCCCTTTTAATTCTCTCAAAATCTCAAAATAGTACAGATTCAATAATAGATGAATTCTATTCGAAGAAAAAACATAGAGCACAACTTAAATGATTGTATTATTTTGGACGTATTTATTTAAAGATTTGTTTTATTGTCAAAAAAAAAAAAATTAAACCACATTTATTTATTTATTTTTACGTTGTTTATATTTTTATTATTTTTATCATAAGCTCAGCCCCCACCTAATTGTCTCACGATCCGCCCCTGGTCATATGGGTTATTTACATTGTAATTACTATAGTCTTTGTCAAAAAATAGAACTTTTAAGTATGATTAGTAAATCTCACTAAATCATATTAATCTTATAAACCTCTTATTAGTTGAATTGGTCCATTAATTAATGATTTTGTAGGTGGACGACCTATTGAACTTTTTAGATGGTCCAAATATTCATTGATATACTGGACCGGGTCAATAGGTATACCAATAAGATATATACAATTAAAAAATAACATATTCAGTTCATATATTATCTATTAATCTCGCACTTTACTAAGTTCTAACTATAATAATTATGTAAATAAAGTAGGATCAAGAATCCAAATCCCTTTTCACTTTGAGACATTTACCTAAGTTAATCTCCACCAAAACAATTAATGGGTCAGTGAGTAAAACATCAAGATTCAATATATGATAATTAAAGATCAAGTCAAATCTAAAGTTTAATCAGTAGTAATCAGTGATCTGAACTCCCAAAAAATTAACCCTCATTTTTTTTTTGTAAATTTTATCCAAAAAAAACCAGTTCCCATAAAAAATGTTCTATGTGGGAAGAATAAAATATTGTGGGCTAAACCGAAAACAACGTGAGAGTGGGTGGTTGGGTGTGAATACCAGCGAAGCTGGTAAGGAGATTTTAAGTTCGGAGGCCTCGAATGCATGGGGGGCCTTGACCCCCTCCTCCGGCCCTACACTGGGTGTGAACCAAAGTTGGACGGCTACAAGTGGAATCTCGAATTCTTGATCGATGAGTACGATTGATGTATCGAAATTAAAAAAATTGACCCTCCAAAAAACAAAGTGTGATCTTGTTAAGTATTGAGCCCACATAAAATGATCTGTTGTGATCTGGGCCAATAGCTATTTTAATTCAAAGCCCAACTTGTGAAATCGGGCCCAACATTACTTAAGCCCACTGATCAGTCAAACCTAGATCTGGACCGTCGGATAGAGGGCTTCAATCTGAGCCCTCCATTTACCCACTCCTCTATCTTCTCTCAACCCTAGCAGCTTTCTTCTGCTGCGCCGTTTCTCTCTCTTCCCTTGTCCCCTCCTCTCTCTACAGTGTATCGTCACCCCTTGTCGTTTTCCGGCGACACCTTCGCAGGTCCGGCCGGACAATGGGTGTCCTTACCGTCGCAGCACATTTAATGCTGAAGACCGTTGAAACTCCGTGTATTTATACTGTGGTGAGAGAGAGACAAGTGTGATTCACCTTTTATTCAAACCCTTTCATTTCTGGTCTTAATCCTCTTCTGTGAGGGTTTCGGCTTTGTGAGTGCAGAAATCTGGGTTTGTGCTGAGTGGAGAGGGTGAGTTATCACCGAGTTGACTGTGCATGTGTTGGTGAGTCAACTCGGAGTGAGGTTTGGGGTCAGATCTAGGGTTTCGATCAGTGGCAGTGCTTGGTGCTTGTTTTCGGTTGGTGTTACCACCAGACCTTGGATCTACAGTTGAACACTGGAAATGGGGAACTGAGCCGTTCTTTATTATATGCTCTTTCTTTTCATTTTACCTTCTGTGTTATCTAACTGTCTTTACAGATCTATGGCTGTGTTTGGAAGAACGTGTACCTAACAGATCTTGAGAATATTTGGAGACATATATACTTGTGTTTTATGACCGATAGCTGTCTGAGACCATAATATGTTCGGAAATGTTCTTTTTCTTTGAACAGTGAACGGTCCAGAAGACAACGAAAAGGGTATGGGGGAATAAATTTATAATTTAATTTCAAGAATGTGAAATTAAATAAAATGTCTTGCTTCTGTGATATGGACTGTCATGATGTGTATTTCTACACCATTTCTATTCAATTACTTTGGTACCAATTGCATGCAATAGCTAATGGGTTGTGGGCATCGATAACGATATATTTATGTGGTCCTTTTAGACATAATGCGAAAAATATATACTTAAGTCAGTACTTTTTGTTTTTTTAAATAAATAAGTGACGCCTGTTGAGTGTAGAAATTAGACTCAATACGTTTAATTTGTATTTGTGCAGTAGTAGGTGAATTTTGTGGTTTATAAATGAAAAACGACAATATGTCTACAAACTTTGAAAGAAGAAATCTCGCATCAGATATATCCGAAAAAAAAAAATATGCGATTACTATATGTGATGATCTCATATAGCTCACGGTCTTAAATTAATCTATGTGGCCAATTTATTAAGCGTGAAATTATGACAGCTTAAATTAGTCAATCACCCATTATCACACAATCCAAACATGCCCGGGGTGTCTAACAAATATTACAAATTTCACATTAATTTATTGTAATTTCCATGCATGAAATGAATGAAAGTATTTATATATTGTCTTGGAATGATGAGTATGAGTATTTTTTTATTACAAATTTAACATTAATTATATTACTATATTATATTATGTCAACTTGCATCTATTTATTGTATTAAAAATATTGTGTCCGAGTGACGCATCTTCAGTTGCAGAAAATTGGTGTCATTTAATTAGTGACAGAGAGATGATGACATGCATGCATGTATATAAGTCTGTAGAGTAGATAACAATTGCATTAATTCGATTGTTACAACTAAAAATACATCAAGCATACGTTTAAGGTGACGAAATGAGAGAGAGAGAGAGAGAGAGAGAGAGAGAGAGAGAGAGAGAAACCCTAGTGGTTGCCACGTAAGGAAATGAAAGAGAATTAGGTCAACCAGTTTTGGGAGATCGATGTAGTACTAGATTATTTCTCGAAAAACCCCAGCCTGTCATCACCCAACCTTGTCTCCCCCCGCAGCATTCTTGTATTCAGACCATGTGAATTCCTTGTACAAACTCACTTCACCTTCTTCCAATATCGAGGGCAAAGGCGTAATTTTCTCACTCAAAGGTGGCCCACCAAAGTATATCATTGAAACCCTCGATTTGACACTATCACCTGCCAACACTCTGTGCTTCACACTCCTAAACCTCCCATTAGTCATCACCTGTACGTAATTAATCAAACTTTATTATATTATTATTATTTAATTTTGATAAAATTTTGATAAAATATTTAAATAGTTACTGATGGAAAACGGATGGATCA